CAAACCTTGGAAAGTTGAGGTGTCGTTTTGATACTTCTTGGCTTTAAGGCAAAGCTTCGGTTATATTTAATTATGTTGTGACCAATTTTTCTGTTAGAAAAACTGAATTGTTAAAAATTTCCAGACAGCACTAAATTTCAAAGAGACGTTAGAAGCATGGAACTGTTGTACAATGTACTGGCTGCGACGTGTTGCATATGATCGCGCTCCAAAAGGGTGTGTTTCTTTGCAACTTTAAATGCTGTTGATGCTCATTTTAATCTATTTCTTCATCGTTTTACAATTTGTTTAAATTTTTGAGGTACCGGACTCTATCCACGTATTTGTTGTCAGCAGTTTGGCATGGCTTCTTTTTGGGTTACTATGTCACTTTCTTGACTGGCGCTCTGTTCACCGTTTCTGCACGAACGGTATTTTTGCATGTGAATTTCATGTAAGATCGCAGCCTGAGTTCATTAGTTAATAGATTATACATACTTCCCCAGGTCAAAACTTGTTTGATTGGTACTGTTAGAGATTAAACAGCGAAACTTAATCTGAAGCTTTCAGTGGACTAGAAGAGAAAGATTTATTGAAATTTCATTCATCAAGCTAATAATCATTCAAAACTTTTCTTTTTTAAATTCAGATACGTCGTTGCCTACGTTGGCGCTTCCAAGGAAATAAATTTCTACAACGCTTTTATGACGTTCTCACATTGGTTGTGACTAAAATTGTTCTAGCTTATACAACATTTCCATTTATTATGATGCATCTTGGTCCTGGTTTATATTTTTACAGGTATTATTTCAAGAAAATCAATTTTTCAACAAAATTTGAAAATTACTAACTCTTTCGTACTATACAATTCCTTTTGAATTACGAAAATTAATCAGGCATATAAATTAACCAATTATTTTTCATCTTTATTTTAATCACATCTTTTAGTGTTTGTTTACTGAAGTTCAGTTTTCAGTCGTATGTATTTCTGCTTGCATATCATCGCTTTTCTTGCTTTATTTGTCCTGCCACGAATACTACCTCCACAATCAAAATCATTTGAAAGCAAAAATAGTTATGATACGAAAAAATTATTGTAACTGGAGATGGTATATCTTTGCAGTTGGCGAAGTAATCAGCACAACTTTTTACAATTTGGTATAATAATGGAGTAACGACCATTATATTCAATGTATAGAAAGTAATATATAAAGTATTGTTATTTTTCTTTCATGAATTAGCGAGTACTACTTTTAATGCTATAGTTATTTCCTGTTGGCGAAATAAAATATAAATGCTTTTTTGATGTGCTGTTTCGTTTTGTAATGTTATATTGATCATTTTGTAATGTTATATTTGATCGATGTTTTGAGCTCATTTTTTTGCTCTAAAAAATTGATTTCACTTAGCATTTTATGTAAAACACTGGTTTTACAGATTTTGTCCCTCGAAATTTCGCTGTTTTTCTGTGGTTTCTGATCATTAAATTATGCTTTTTATTATGGAGTTGTCACTGTGAATTTTTTTGATTCTTCCATTTGTATAAATTCCATATTCAATGTTTGCAGGAAAATCTTCTAGTAAGTTTTGCTTGAAATGTATTGCTGATATATCATAGCTGTTTACTATATGCTCAGTTTGAATACTCATTTTCTTCTCTTTTCTTAAACTTCATATCCAGTCTGCTCAGTTTCACTTTTTCATTCGTAACAGGCGAGTATTGATTCATTTGTCAAGTGTTTAATTTCTGTTTTACTTTTCCTCACTTGTTATAAATTTCAGTTTAATTAATTGATTTTTTTTCAACTGTGAATAAATTTTCAATCAAAAATTGCAGAGCCACTATATTCTTTCAAAAACATATTCTATATTCTTTCTATATTCTTTCTTTTATAGCCACTATATTCTTTCTTTCAAAAATTTCTTTACCTTTAGAATCAATTCTAAGACCACTTCGTTCCGTTTATTTTTGAATTTACAACGCAAAGATTTTCATTCAGTATTTACATTTCACTCTTTTTCATTATGATGCCATTCTCATTGCTTTGCAATTTTTGTTAGTTCCTTTTTCTTTGTTATTGTACGGGAGATAAAATAGCGGAAAAACTTCGTATTTTTTAGTTTTTGTCTTAGTAGTGTTTAAGATGCAACCAAAATTGAGTTTCCAGGAGAAAAAATCGATTTCTGATTTGTAATGATTGAATTTCTAAATTTTTGATAACAAAAATTCCCAGGAACCATTTGGCGTAACCTGAATAACACCCTCTTTTCATTTTGCTTGTTTTTTCGTTAATATTTAATTGTTAAATTTGTGTGCTTGATTTTGTAAAATTTATAATATGTTGATAAAGTTATTGCTGATAAAAGACAAGCATTATTGGGATAGTTTTCTACTCATCGGTTAAAGTAGCTTATAATTGATAAGCTATCATTCCAATAATTCAGTCATTTCAATAATTCATTAATTACTAACAAGTATATTTTCAAGTAAATTATTTTCCCTAGAATTTTCAAAACAGTCTACTTTGGGCCGTATTTTTTTATGTTAGGTTCTATCAGCATGATTCCTGAATGTCCCGTGATTGGTACGAGGAACGATTTATTGATTGTTCCTCACTTTATCAATGTTAGTATATTTTTCCTTAGTTCATTTAGCCCTCTAAAAGTTCACCTTACCAATCTTGAAGTTACTCCTACTTTCTTACCTAATAGTGGGGATATTACCAGTTCAAGTCGATTGATTGGATTGAAATTGATAACATTTTCTTGGTTAGTTTGAGATTCTGTTCCACTCCTTTCGATGGTAAGTTTGCTGTTACTAAAGTAGATATAGCAAATTGCGGATTTTCATGGATGTAAGATGAAGTAGTGGGATTTTCTGCGGTCCAAATTTTGGCTATTTAATTTCCTTGTCGGAATGAAAGCGATTTATATCGCCATTGTTCGTATGATGTAATCTTTTTGGTATAATCAAGTATTTGCTTAACATTCTCTGCAGGAAATGGAATTTCTGTACTTCATACTAGCAATGTGAAACTGGGACGAGCCATACGTCGTAGGAACTACGAACGATAAGTTGATGCGATGAAAAAGGGTATCAGTCGTTGCTAGATATGTTGAAAGTTCGATTTCCTTCCCCATCCATTTTCTGCCGTTATTATGATGCAATAAATAGAGCATCTTATTAATTCTTTTAAAACATTATTTCACACATGCATTTTCTCACAAATATCCGTTGTAGGAGCTTATGGGAGCTTTTTTTTTTTTAATATATAAGTATGAGTGGATTCTTCAAATTGTTGAAAAAACTTTGGTCTGTTTATTGGTAATTTTCTTTTCAGAGATTATCAATAATTGTTTGATTTACTAACAGTTAACGATGCCCGGTATCCATACATTTTATGATGGTTCGATGTTATTGCAACCAATAGCAAATTCATTAAGCATTGGAATTGATAAAGTAAGCATTTATTTCAGTTTTAATTCTTCTTCATTTTTCTTAGTATTAGTTAAGTTTCGTCCTATTGTTGTGTTGTTATTATTTTTGTTATAATTATTTCTTCTATCCACACTCCTAAACTTTGAGAATATTAGAATTGCACTGTTTTTATTTCTTTATTTTTCGGTTTTCTTGATCATCTCGAAATCCCACTCCTTTTAATTTTACTTTCCGTAAGAATTCTGAATGACAGTGCTTAATCTGTATTCATTTTCCTCTCATCCGTCAAAGACTTGTTGAATATAGATTAGCTTGTATGGAATTATCTGGAGGGGAAGAGATTTTGTCAGGAAACTTTCCTAACAATCTTCCAGATCTCTAATTCGAATATGAATATCTCTTTCTTTCTTTTCGTGATTACCATAATTGTTCTCAATTTCTTTCAGATTAACTTAGTGGTATGCCAGATTATATCACTGATGCTCTCTTACTTACACTACAGCATCTTCAGTACAACTAACGTTTCACGAACGGCGCGTATTGCCTCTCCTGCAATTTTTGGCTTAATATTTTGTCACTTTTGTTATGGCAAGTGCGTTTTCATGATGTTGCTTTCATTATCTTAATATCATTTATGGAAAATTATACTATCAACGGATGTATTTTACTAGTTCAAACTTTTATCTGAATATTGAAACTTGTAAGTACTGTATTCTGTTGTTGTATATTCTTACTTAGCTTCGTAGTTACTGGTGAGTATCAGATGCAGCATGTTCCCTGTTATCAGAACTGTAGATCATAGAGGGATGTATATCACTTGTTACAGCGATTTGGTCGCTCCTTCTAATTCACCGCTAGTAAGCTCTCGTTGATTCATCAGTTTAAAAAAATAACTATGATTTTTCAAGTTAACCTGTGACTACCACCAAATTTTAACTCCCCTAGGAAAGAAAATTAATTACTTGAAGATATGATTACCTCTTTCCAGTTCAGAACTTGTGAATGCTAAATAGATTATATATTTTTATTTTCAGTGCAATGAAACATTTGATGTTATTGGTTGGTCTATCATTTGCTATCATGCATTCTTCTCCGCCAGAAATTGTCCATAAGTAAGTTTAGCAGTTATAAGTAAGGATGGAGATTTGAATAATCCAATCGAAATCACTTGTATAATGAGGAGTGGTATAGTTTGGAGTAAAACGTTTCTACAAGTGGTTGTAACTGGATTATTCATGCCTCTACCCTCACTTATAATTGCCAAAATCACATGGTATGTTTCAGAGTATCATATGATTTTTGAACTTAGAGATGGTCTTTTTATATTGAGGAAATATCACTAGAAAATGGAGTCTTTTAATTTGTATTAATTAAATTCAATTTGTGTGTACATTTTAGGTACGTATCAGGAACCGTTCAAGTAAGCAGTCTATTTTAAATTCCATTTTTAGATGTGTATTTTTATTTTCTATGGGGTATCTCGTTTTCATACATTGGTATCGGTGGTATATACTAACAGAATCTACTGTTGATATTACGGGTCCATTGATGGCAAGTTTCTTCTTTTTTTTTCTACTTCTCTTATTGCTCATTATGGCTACTTTTGTAGTTTGCGCTACTCCAACCGTTAAGAATGTTCACTAATTTCTTAAAAGAAATAGAAGTTGTTGGAAAAGTTGTTGAGTTGTTGAGATTCTAAAAGTTGTTGCGAAGTTTTAAAAGAAGTTGTTGAGTGCTGACTGTCACACCCTTATTCCTCCAAATTTATCATCGCTTAAATTATGGAAAACTCCAGCCGTCTGGCTGTAACTTTGTTTTGCCTACTCTATTAATCAGAAAAGCAGTAATGTCTTCTTGACTTGTTTAACATTTCAAGCAGTACTTCTCTTTTTATCCTATTATTCATTTATAATTAGTTCTTACCTCTCACTGTGCACTGCGTAAGATGTGGGGACCTTAAAGAATTTTCTTTAAGAGTTATCAAGTGATGGTTAGTCGTCACCATTTAATGGAAGTTTTGTAATGGATGATTTCGAAAAAGATGATTGTTTTTTTTTTCAGATACTAGTTCAAAAAGTAACAATGCTTGCGTTTTCATTACATGATGGTAAGGTGAAAAAACGTGAAGAGCTAAATGAAATACAAAAAAGAGAAGCCCTTAAGTAAGTGATTCTTATAAATTTTGCTATTTTTTAAGCTGGCCCATTCTTTTTGATTTTTTAATGTGTTTAAATTTTGTCTCGAAAGTTTACACCTACAAGTTATATGTCATATATTAGTGTATGGTAACAATGGTATTGCAAGGTATTGAATCTACATTCTTTTAATACTGTTAAAGTAAGTTTCAGATCGGTACCTGATGTATTAAGCTTTCTAAGTTATATGTTTCATTTTCAAGCAGTATTAACTGGACCAGCTTGTTTTTACACCGATTATATAGCATGGATTGATGGAACAGCTGCTATTGGTAAAGATGGAAAGGTTAGTGAAATTTAACCTTAATTACTTGATACCTAAAAGTGGAGCAGAAGGTATTGATGCCAGACGCAGTATGACCACTCAGTAATCGTTATTTTATGACTGGAAATATTCGAAAAAATACATTCCGTTTGAAGAGTAACACTTATTGATTTAGCTTGGGTGAAAGCATAATCCCAGAAAATGAAGTAATATCTGGAAATATTATTTCATTAACAAAAGTTGTATCATAGTTCTATACAAGATCTTTCGTTAACTTTGTATTTAGCTATGACTTTTATCTGCAACTGAATAATATAATGTAGTCAAATGTGTGCCGCTGCAATCGAAGAATTTCGAGAAATATTTCAAGACAATCTGTAACTTCTTAATTAATTTGTAGATTGAGAAACCATGGCATGCAGTATTGAATAAATTATTACAAGCAGTGGTGTTTATGTTATTATATGTTTTTCTTGGTGATTGTTTTACTCCTGACATTATCATCGATAAGAAATATATGAACCTAAATTGGATTCAGGGATTATTTATATTGTACATTGTAATGGCTTTTCAACGTGTGCCATATTATGTTGCATGGACTTTGGGTTAGATTTTTTATGAAAATTAACACTTGTTTTCTTGTACAGTTTTATTTCTGCATGAATTTCAAGAGAATCGTTTTCACCTGATTTTTTTCTGTTTTACTGTAGTTAAGCAACGATTAGCAAATGGTACATGCTTGAATTACGTGCGCACTTCCAGAAAGATAGCAAAGAATAATATGAAATAAAACGCCAAAAGCTCGTTAGTTTGACAAATTTGATGAAGAAGGCATCATCTTTTATAACGTACAAAAAATACGGAAAAATATTGAAGAACGGTTTTTATGTTTTTTT